TTTAACAAATAATAGAAAAACTCAAGTATTCGATAGTATATGGTATATAAGTGTATTTAAAATTTTTAAAAATCAGACTTTGAATATAATATGCATATATTAAACCATATAAATATGACGAGTATATTCAACAATTACCGCAAGTATGTATAGTGTATGTATACATATATTCACTGAAACAAATCGAAATAGACTCATAATAATTCTAAGAATCGGAAAACATGTATTTGCAATACTCCTATAATATGTATAATAGCGTTATATACGACGAGTCGTAACCGAATAGATATTACACGGAATAATAAAAAATTCGTTCATAGAGCATAATATATCATATTAATTTCTATCGTTAAGATAAAAATAATGTATATGATTTTATTATTGACTTATTTGTTCGTACCTACATTATAGCGAAGGCGGCATCGTCTATTAGCCTTGGCGGTTGGCCCTCTACCAAGCTACTCGAAATTTAAAGACGTACCTACTATGCGTGTGTGTAGCAGGTTATCACTAATCCATGATTGACATTTTATAAAACACAATGACGTAATGAGTGCAAGCGAGACGATTATCACAATGTAGGCAATATAGCGATCGTCGTTTGTTAGATCGCGATTGTTAAATATGAATTGATTTTTTAATATTTTACTTATTATAATTCCATGTACTTATATCATATGCTGAAGTGTACCAATATCTCTACAGTCTACATATAAAAGTTACCAAAARTTATGTTAAGAGTTAAGACCACGGTTAATATAAATATACACTGTGTTTTCGTATAATATCTAYGGCATGTATAATTATTATGGTATATATAAAAAGAAAACAYAAAAAAATATAATAATGACCGACCTCTGTAGCGCAAACATCCATTAATTATAATGAGATAAAACAAAACAATTCTTAACAACAATTTCAGCACGTTGATTCCACTTCCACCCTATAGGTAATATATTTTACTGTAGACATTATATAATTATTTATAGAGACAAGTGCATTATTTTTGTACATATTTTACATGTAGAAAAAAATCGTGAAATATTTAAATATGTTTTCATAGTCTTGTAATAGCAGTATGTGATTATGTACGCCATAAGACACACAATCAAAAATATCCTTAATCTTTATGATCATTTAGGGAAATATCCTAATAAAATGTTATTTTAAGCGACTCATTTACATTATCAACCATATACCTACCTAATATGAGTGCCGATAAGAAATCGTGATAAACTGAAATTATGAACAGCGGTAAATGCGGACTTCTGAAAATAACAGTCCTTAATAATTAAATAATTAATTATTATTGTATACCTTTATTGGAGTATAAGAGAATGACATGCGGAGATCAAAATGTGTTTTTCATAAATCGACTGATGCTCAGAAGTCGGAGGACAACCTTTGAAAATTGGCTTGGCGATATCGACTGTTTTTGGGCGTGGACGGTTTTGAATTTGGCGCGCTTTCTTTACAGACCGTCGATTAAAGAGCCGCTGCCGGCCATTTTGAACAATGCCGAGCAGCGTTTTGCAGGCCGCAGACGGCCACAGTCGCAACTACCGCCGCATCGCCGCGCCACCTGGTACCACCGCCGCGACGCCACCACCCCCMCTCATCAAATACCAACTGCACCACACCGCCGATCGCTTTTTACGTCCGTCACGGTTGGTTTTCGTTGTTTTTCTGTTCCATTTCCTACTCCCGTCCACCCGAACGGTGCAGATTGTTAGTTACTGGTTTCGTAACCGGCCGCCGTGCGTTCAGTCTGTCAATTTTTTTATCATCAYCCGCGGAACGCGTCTTTCGTCGCAGTCACCGTCGTTCGTTCACTCCGCACTCGCAGTTCACACTTAGTACTCACTCACACACAAACACACACATACAAACTCGCGCGCGCCGTTCTCGCCTGGTTGGATTTATCTATTTTCCACGCGTCCGCGAGTCCGAACCAAGTCGGCCGTGCCGTACACGTCTCCGCGTCAACCGACCGACATCCTTAACGCCTGACCGTTGTCYAAGTCGCTGTCTCACGTCGGCGTTACTCTCGTTTGGATTTTCGTCGTTTGTCGCACTACGTAACCTACAGCCATGAGTACCTTGTCAGAAACAAATCCTATTTACGGGCCGTTCTTCGGCGTCATGGGCGCGGCATCGGCCATCATATTCAGCGGTAAGCATATAACGATCACCACAACAGTAATTATTATGTGTTATTGTTATTATCAATGGCAATCTGCACACTGTCGTTGAGGCGGTTGCCGGTAACTCGCCGCCGACGCTTATGGCGGACAGGGTGGCGTTTGATCGATGTCGTGCGGCCGGCGGCTCACACGTTATCGCCGAAAAAAACGCGGCCCCAAAGTGAAAAACTCTCACGGCCGCCACACCCACCCGCCGCCGACGGCCGATACGCGGGGGATCTGCGCTTGATGAAATCGGCTCACGAGGGATCTACGGCGGCGGCTGTTCGGCCCAAACGTGGCGGACACGATTGTCGGACGGGCCGACCCTTAAATTTTCCGGCCGCGTTACGCACGCACCCGTTGAAAGACACACGAGTGGATGGTTTTAGGCGTGGCCTGATGATCATGGTTTTCGTATTCTCGTAGCGCATGAGTGCTTGACGTGTGCAATATCACCTAACCACTTTGTATCAACGACCGATCGATTTTGCAGAAAACTGTGTGCACCCTCCCGGCGAGACTTCAATTTTGAGTTGACGGGCGGACTGTAATTCATTTGAAACCGATAAACTCGGTCAACACCACCYAGGCCGGCCGTGGATCGTATTTATTCGGACGATTTTCGATGKTATTCCGAACCTCCCCTAGGTTGACTATTTGGGTTCGCCGAGTTCCGGCGGCGGGTAAAGGTCGAGATAAAATCCGCAATATCGGCTTTCTCTAGAGGCGGCCGCGCCACAACCTGTTCGCGTCGCGTGTCCCACATACGATACACGCGCATGGGCGTGACCCGGTCGAGTTTCTCGAGTTTTTCGAACACTCGCGTCCCAAGTGCTCTTGAGTTTTCGTCCCTATCCCAGTAAAACGTGTGCCTAACAATAGCCCTTGGATTTGTACCGAATTCCCGATCCACGTTCCTGACTTTTCCTGGTGCGATAGCCGTGCGAATCATGGGCGCGGTGCATGAAGGTCATTTAATTAGATTTCGATCTCAACGAACCTTATCTATTTCTCTCTTACTCGCCCGTCTGCGGTTGTTCAAATTTTCAATTTGCGAATTTCTATTTTACCACCAACTATAACTCGATAACATGAATTGTTTTGTGCACCTAGGTACGACATATTTTGTAACGTTTCTCATACACTTCCGATAACACATGTTGCTTTTGCCATAGATTAGGTTTATCTGTTCTTCGTTCAAAATACTTTGTGACTAGTACAGAGTGTGTTGGTCCAAAGTATTAGGTACATTATTGTTCAATGTGCGTGTTCTATATATCTTTTGGCTATTACATATACCCAAAATTATGTTATGTAATGAAATTTTCCTTATTTTTGATATCTCCAATTTTGACATACCACACCCTTTTTCATTATTTTTACTATACAGTTTTGACCATTTTTACATTGTTATGTCTGCCAAATAAGTTAAGAATTGTTTGAATCATTAACACTTTGTCACTTTACGAGTATTTGAATGAAAAAATGTACCTTAAAATTACTTTAATTTCTGTTCAGAATCCAATGCATGTCAAAGAGATTTTTTCTGCTGATGGTAAAGTGTATCCCAGTATATGTGTCTTAATGTTATATTTTTTAGTAGTTATGTATACATAAATTTTAGTACCTATTACCTACTGATGATGTAGGTTATTACAACGCTATATTTAATGTGATTAAACATTAAGGAATTTAACATGACAATTACAGAAACAACAGCTAAAATTTGACCTGATTAATCAAACTGTTAATAATTTCTTAATAACTATTTTACTTAATAACCATTTCACACTGAGTACATTTAAACAAAGTCTAATACATAATGGAGGAGTGCTGCTTTTAATAAACTAAAAAGGTTCCTATGAACAAAGTTAAATTATGCAATGCGTTAACGAATAATACCTAATAAAAGAATCTTTAATCTTAATACATGAGGAGATATATGTTTATTTTTATTATCGTTGAGCATACGAGCATAAGACCGCATTTTATAATTTCATTAATATATTTTATTTATATGTATTTGTTGTTTTTTAAAAGTCTGTTAGAGTAAGCTATTATAAGTTGAAACATCAAATTTTTAGCATTTGAGGTACCATATCTATTTACCACTGATGAATTCACTTTCATCTTGTGTAAGTTTTCAATTGTAATACTGACAAATAATCTGAACATAAACCTCGTTTCATCTCACTTATTTTTATTTAATGAATGTACCACAGAACCCTAAATTTTATCAGTAATTTGTATTTGTAAATGATATTGTTATCTAATTATTATTATTTTTTTATTTTTTGTAGCTCTTGGTGCTGCATATGGTACAGCAAAATCCGGAACCGGTATTGCCGCCATGTCAGTAATGAGGCCGGAACTTATTATGAAATCCATTATTCCCGTTGTCATGGCTGGTATTATTGCTATATATGGTCTTGTAGTAGCTGTCCTAATAGCAGGAGCTCTGGAAGAGCCCTCTAAATACTCCTTGTTCAAGTGAGTTGATAAGAATAATGTATTAATATAATCAGACAAATTAAGTAAAATTAATGTGCACATTGCGAAACACTAGGATTACTAACTTTCCATTCTTTTTTTATAGGGGATTCATTCATCTTGGTGCTGGCCTTTCCGTAGGCTTCAGTGGTTTGGCTGCTGGTTTCGCAATTGGTATTGTTGGCGATGCTGGTGTCAGAGGCACGGCCCAACAGCCCAGATTATTCGTAGGAATGATCTTGATCCTAATTTTCGCAGAAGTATTGGGATTGTACGGACTGATTGTTGCAATTTACCTATACACCAAATAAACAATTTTCCCTCTGAATAAATATAAAAACAAAACAAAACAAATTTTTTTTTGTAACAAAAAAAATAAAAATAAACCGTGAACACCCAAACGATGCCCAGTTGTTAATTCAAACAATATACTACCATATTATTATAAACATTTTAGTTGAAAGGAAATCAAACTTTTTGTGTCCTTACGCCACTCACCCTAATAGTTATGTATATCCTTCCTTCCTCCAGCTTTCTGAACCATTTTTCCATTCACGTAGCAAAATAAATAATTATCTTAAACTATTTAAATACGTATATTTAAATAAAATAAAATGATGGCCATCTCATGTATCAAACGTTATATTTTGTGTTTTATTATTATTATTATTATTGACTTTTTTTATGTTCAATGAGTTGTATTATTAATTGTTGTTCCCCCTCTCACTTTTAAATGTTACTTAACAAGAGGGGACTACCCTCAAACATTAAGTACTCTATGCGATGTGATGCAATCTAAACTTAGACAAGTGTGCGATTGTTCTCCATCTTATCGAGTAACATACACTAATAATAATAATAATAATGATAATAATATATTAAATTATTTAAATTAATATTATTGCAGTTCAGCACAAATATTGTAGCTGTACAATTTATGAAAACTCGTAGTTAAAGTATTATTGTTTGTTTTTTTTTTTAATAATTTTTTTTTTACATTTATTGTAAAATAAAAGCAGGCTTACATGGTTACTGGTTATTTTAAATTTTTATAATAGAAATTAATTAAAAGTATATAAATTAACAAGAAAAAAGTTTAAAACAACTATTAGTGTTTTTAATAATTATTTTAAGGGAGCGTGCATCTAAGACGTGTTTAAACATTCCAATGTATTTGTAATTTTATCGTATAATCCAATGGAAGTATATTAATATTACTTACAATTAGATATTATATATTCATACATACATACCTTTATATATGTATATATATATAAACACTTATAAAAAATCTGCCATTAAATTATTGTTCGTTAGTTCAAATAGTTATTATTACCTCCTGTCAAACAACCCATTTGTTTATTTTCCATTCATATCAATCGCGTGTTATTGTTTCTCATCATTATCAAATTATTCATAACTATTATAACTGTTCAAAAAAAAAAAAAATTTAAAAAAATCCACTATTTATTTTATTATAGTTGTGTATAAATTATGTGGTTAACATTTGTTTTATTTTTATTTTATTTTAATATATATATTGTATGATTTAAAAGAAGACTATTACCTTTATATTTTGTTACATAAAGAACTAAATAAATATTAAATGTGTTAATAATCGGTAATTAATTTTGTATTATTATTTTATTGAATCGAAATTAATCACCAAATGAATGTAATTGTAAACATTGGCATACTCAGAATCAGATCATACACATTGAGTTTATCTTTTANTTTTTTTTTTTTTGGTTGTTTAGTAGACACTTAATGCAGTTAAATCAATTTTTTCAATTGTTTTTAGTCGTTTTTAAACAAAACAAATTTTAAGTCTGTAATATATTATTACTTAGACTCGAAGGAAATTCTAAGAGAGTAAATTAAACCTATCTAATTTTCTATACCTACAATTTCCTAGGAATTTCAATTATATAGTAATAAAACAAAATTGTTGTTAATCGTTGCGTTTGTTTATTTATTTATTTTTTTTTTTTTAATTTGAAACTATTATAAATTACTTCTGTTTCAATCTTGGTGTGAAATGTTATACCTGACTGCTATATTCACTCTTATAAAGTATATTATTATATAATATATCTATCAGCATGGCAACAAAAGTCGAGACAAATTTTCTAACAAAAGATATGCCCGGCATGTATTATTTACGTGTGGTTACTTTCGACGTCTTTTGTCTATTGAACTTTGGAAACGATCGGGTGCCTCTCGGTCTTCGCACCACGGTAGACTGTTGGTTGTCAGTATGTACCAAAAAAGCTCTGTCGCACTTGCAACCTTAACGCCTAGTGTAAAATCTTTACGAGCAAAATAAAATTAGTACGAACATGATTTTTAGCAGCATAATATTATTGTACGTTTATCCACGTTCGACCACCACCTGTTGAAAGAACGCGGAAAAGAATATTTTGGTTGTTGGTTTTATCTCAAAAATATATTTTTCAAGTGCGGAGCTACTTTTCAAAATTAGTACGTGTATCAACCTTTAATAGGTAGGTTTGTTATTATTATTATCTATATACGTATAATGATAATGGCTGAATAAACTTGACAAMGAGCATGACATTTGTACTACAGCTCACACAGTTTAACAACTCATAATAATCATTGACATTGCATTGCCATTATAATAAATGGCTATAAAACGTTACCTAGAAAAATTAACCTCATGTGGAAATTTCGCAAAACTTAAAAGAAATGGTTAGATGTAGGTTCCTTAAGGATGTGTTTTTTTTTTATTATTAGCTTTTAGTATTCAACAGATAGCTCAACAATTATAAAATTATTCATAATACAACATTATATATTACATTTAAAATTTATATAATAAATCCAACATCCAATATAAAAGAAATTATAATTTTAATGGCAGTTGTGGATTTTGTGTTGAGTCAGAGTACATATTAAAAGGAGATATGAGATTTTAGTGCGTTAATTAAAATTTGGCGTTTGGCTTGTAGGACGAAGGATGTGTGAAACTGCTAAGTTTGAATTCAATGATGGTCTATGAGAAATATTCAGTTATTATACATAATTGTGCATACTTCTATCCGGGGACGAAATTTTTGTTTTTTTTTCGCTGGATATGCGTATCATATCTTAATCTATCATCACCCATGGTGACATGGTGTTTCGACTGTTTGATAAATCGGTTTGGAAGATGAACAAATGTATTTCATTAGAAATTGTCGATATTGGTATATCGGCAGTGTTAATGATATAGAAATATTTTTTATAGCTAGGTACGCTGAAAGCTTCAGATTAATCTTTAAGACTTGATCAAGCAGTCCAGGCACACCTGGCCGGCTCAATACATTGGCCGCAGGGTGGGGGAAGGGGTTCATGAACATTAATTAACAATATATATTATATATATAATATATTATTATATTAATAATAAATGTATTTTTAAATTTTAATAAATACCTACCAAACATTTTAAAAGTTACAAATTTTGCTGTTTGTTTTTGTTGCCGGTTGGAACGATATTGTAATAAGTTAATACTTTGTAATCGAACTATATAATTTATAATAACGTAATGCTGGACCTATTATTTGTAAAATTTCGGACTGCACTCTTAATTTTACTGCTTTGAACAGCAATGTTATTCTGTCTTAGAAAAATCAATGCATGGCATATATATGTTACCGTAAATGCCCGATCACTAGGTAAACCTAGGTTTCACTAGTTAATGCTAGGTTTTACTGTTTGTACTCAGTAAATGCTTTCTTAATTTTATTTGGGATTTATTACTTAACACGTTGTATACATCCTAGGATATATAAATTGACTTAGTAAAAACTGATGAATACACTACACATGACATTTGAACGATAAGCTGCGTAAAAATTATAATTATATATTATTAAAAGAAACTACAGACAGTTATTTAAATTTGTATACAAAATTAAAATGCATTTAGAAACAGAATTATTATTTATTTGTTCATAAAAATTAGTAAAAATGGTGGGTAGGTACTTAGTAAGAAATAATTGTTTAAATTTKTATTTATTTGCACATATACTATTATGGCGTTTTACATGCATTTTTATACTGTATAAAAATTTAATTAACTGTCAGAAGTTTGTTTTAATAATATATAATTATAATTTTTACGCAGCTTATCGCTTAAATGTTATGTGTCGTGTATTGATCAGATCTTAGTAAGTCAATTTGTATATCCTAGGATGTTTACAACGTGTTTGGTAAAAGTCCGAATAAAATTAAGAATTTTAGCATTTACTGATTACAAACGGTAAAACCTATCATTAACTAGTAACACACTAACACCTAGGGGCTAGGTTTACCTATAGTGATCGGGCATTTATGGTAACATATACATGTAAAATAATTTAATAATGCATTATGCAATTAAGTAAAACTAAAAAATGCTCATAGTCCCTAGTAGCTAGTAGCATAATATATTTTTTTTAGACCGACCGTGTAGGTAGTTCCCACTTATACATTCGTGGTGCACCTAAAAATAGGGCCAGATGGAATGTACTTCGTTGTATATAATTCATTAATCACGAATATCTGTGTATAAATTATTCCATGATAATGGCATCCTGCAAATCATAGACCTTTTATTAATAGACCAGCCTCTTCTATACATAAGATATAACATGCATGATAATATAGAAACAAAAACTGATAATTTCAAAGGTTTCTAATGTGATGTCGTTATGTCGTAAATAAACACATTGCAAACGTTGGCCGAACCTTACGAGATATATTAAAATAATATACTACAGCAGCGGTTCTCAAACTTTTTTGACCGCGGTGCTCTTATGTTCCTAAAAAAAATTACGGAGCCCCAAAAATCAGAAATGTCTATTTGAGACAACAATAATTCATAAAAACTGATGTCGAATGATTAATTTCACAAATACAATTTATTCAATTAATTTAATAGGAAAAAAGAACATATTATTTTATTGATTTATAAATTAAGTACAGRTATGCCCAGGGGACACAGTTTGAGARCCGCTGTACTACTGCAGTATTGTACACCTTAGAAAGGTCTACAAAAACACTTTTCGACGATATGTCCATTTCTTGGGGATTACCCACAATAACCTTACAATAATTTCAAATTTGGTTGTGGCTTGGTGAGGCGGCCGTACGCTCAATCTGCGGAAACGCATTGAACGTATACGTACCGGCCGCAGTTGCTAGCTCCCGGATGGGTGACCACCCGGGATTTTTAGCAACATATCCTTGCCACACATACACAAATACGTGTTACAACCCTACCCACTTAAAAACCTATAAACAAATATACAACAATAACCCCTACCGTACCTCCCCACACCCAATGGCCAATGTTGCCGCGGGTTCTCCTTAAAAAAAAATAAAAAATAATTTGGTTGTTGACGTCGAACATGTCCGTATACGCAGTCCAAGTAACTCGGGATCATATAACTACAAAGATTATTTTTCGACAGTATTGTTCGTTATGGACGACGTAGATTATAAATTTATCGTTGTCGATATAGGGCGTCGTATGGGAATAAAAAGATGATGACAGCGGGATTTTTTTGAATCCGAATTGGGAAAACAAATTCTTTGACATTCAGATCTCCCGAAGACAGTGTTCTTCCTGGGTCCAATATAATTGTACCCCATGTGATTGTCGGTGACGAGGCATTTAGACTACACAAGCACATAATGAAACCATTTTCAAGGAAGGCAAGCAGAGAAGACGATTCTAAAATTTTTTTTAACTATACTCTATATATAGACTAAGCCGTGCTAGTTGAGTCACAGAAAATGCTTTTGGTCTGCTCAGTAAAATATTTAGAGCCTTTTACCAACCTACTAATATACGGATAACGACATGTGATGATTTAATTTGGGTCGCATATTATGTTCTTTGCATTATATGTTGAGGGACGCTTACACGGAAAACGTTAAACAACCATTCTATGAGCTAGATGCTGAACAGGTAAAACCCCCAAAAACATGTTGTCAGTGACTAGAGGATCCTGATTTTTATAATATTGAGAGGGATTTGAAGTAAGAGACCTTTTTCAATAATGAAACAGGCCCGTATCCTGGCAGTAATGAATAATGACGATAACTTAGAAAGTTTTGCATTATGTATACATTTCGACCTATATAATTATTAATACACATGCAATAATAAAAAGTAAAAATATTAATATAAAATAAATCATACTGTATTGTCTTTTCATTGTATTCCCTATTTTATTTGTTGTTAATTATTATACATGTTTAAATATTTAAATGAAACTTGAAAGTAATAAGTACAAAAAATAAGTATAAAATTGGAATAAATTCTTATTAATATTGAAAACTTATAAAATACATTAAATGTAGGTAATTGCTATTTGAAATAAAAAAAAATAATTAAGATTACTTAATTCATTATTTTGTTCCTTCAAAATATTATAAAAAAAACTTGCATACCTACTTCATGAATATAATTTAAAAATAACAAAATATAGTGTAATATATATTTTTTCATTAACCTATGTTAGGTACTGCTCACGATGATTATTATAGTAGTTCCAAAATCCTGAATAATTTGATGACATGGGATACAGTAATGAATAATGATAGTACTGCATGATCTGATACCACCTGCAGATTGAAAAACTGGTAGTAATTTTTTTGGTCAGGATTGATCTGCAGATGTTATACACGGTTGTTCAGGAGCTGAATATTTTTCTTGGATTTCTGTTACTAAAGCCAATGATTTAATTTTAACCTCGTTTATACCTTTATTAGGCAATTTTTTTACTGTAATTGCCTAACTATTGAATTATAGATATAACTATATTGAATTTGAACTTTAAACGCATATAATTGTATTTTTCATGATAAAACAAAAGGCATTTAATCATACGGACGGACAACAATATAATAAGTGATGAGTACCTAGTGACGCACACTMATTTGAATTAATTTCGTATCATACCTACATATTTTCTGCGTAGTCATTTGTAATAAAACAAAATCATATTTGTCATATTAATATCGTACGAAAATACAAACATGAATTTATTGTATCATAAAAAGTGAAAATTCTGTTGACAACATAAAACATAGGACTTTCGAAAATAACGTAAAAGAATACTACTTAAATAAATTTAAAAACCAACGTTGGCATACCTATTCCGATTAAAATTTTCAATGAAGAAAACAAATATTGTTTAGTATAGGTATCAAGTAATTTTCCAAAATATATTAACGACATATTGAATTATATTATTTGTAATTCTTTTACCAACTATTCAACTGTTTGTCTGTTTGTACGATATTGTGTAAAATTTAAACGCCGGATGTTCACTCGCACTCGAGTCTGTTGGGGGTCACTGTAGGTAGCAGCTATACATATAATAACATTATGTAGAATGCTAGTAGGTATTATACAATAATTGTAATAATATAATATTACTATTATATAAACAGGTAATAATAGAGGCAATAGAGCGTAATATTGTTCAGTCACAAGGTCTCATACTTGTCATTTTGCATTTAATGAGTGAGGTTGGAAGACAATATATTATATAGGGCGCATGTAAATTCCGCCCAAAATGAAATACAGGTAAAATAAGGTACATGTAAATTCCGCCCGAAAAAAATTCAGGTAAAAAAAGGTACATGTAAATTCCGCCCGAAAATAAAAATATTATATTATAAAAGTATATTTCCACGTTCTGATTCGATAAGTTGAGCCATTATAGCGTAGGTACTAGGTATAAGCGTATAAGACTCTAGGACGTGTACTGAACAGTGAACACAATTTATAATATTTCTATCTGAAATTTTAGATCCACAATATTGCAGTCAAAGCTGATATGATATGACATGATTGACGATTATCRTTTRAGATACGATKGTTCCGTGTTCGAAAATGTTGTGACTTCCCAATGCTATAAGTTATAACACGCACCGCGTCGCGAAAAGTACGGTCGCGTCGTACATTCACGGAACGCTTAGATTAAAAATATTTATTTTTCCGGGCGGAACTATTTTTGTACCYGTATATTTTTTCGGGCGGAATTTAAATGTACCTTTTTTTGCTTGGATATTTTCCAGGGCGGAATTTACCATAGCCCTTGTTTTTACCTGTTCATTTCGGGCGGAATTTACAATCTCCCATTATATATTATATTTAGGTACCTACCTACTATAGGTACTCACCTAGTAATACAAATTAATTAATCACTTAGGTAAATAATATATGTATGGTACATATAAGTTACCACTAGAACTCAAGTTTACATGTTTTTTTTTTTTTTTTTGTAAGTAAATAATCTAAGCAGTAAACATTTTTATTAGTTTTATTAGGTACTATTTACAGATGTAGTCATACAGAAATTGTGAAATCGCTTAGACTTAAACAAAAACACATAATAATTTGAATATATGTTGTTTCTAATGAAATAATAAAAATCTAGAAAAAAGTTTTCATAATTTTTATGTCTGTGTAAGAAATTTAATGTTGATTGATTAAAAAACATATTTATTTATTCTAATAAGGTTCTCTGTCATTTAAGACTCATTTATTTATTTAAGTACATTTAATTTAAACAGGAGATTATTTAATAAAATCAATACATGATATTATATAATATAAATTAACACTTATTATTCTCATAATGTTACAAAATTAAAACAAACAATTGAATAAATAAAATTGTTTGTTGTTTGTTGTATCTTGTTRTTGTTGTTTTTGTACACTTCAAATTCTTGAAATTGCTGGGATTGTTTATCGAGCGTTAAACACAACCACTGAAAAAATTTGATTAAGGAAACTCTTACCAAGTGTTCAGATAAAATTATAAGCACAATGCAGTTTATAAATGGTAATGTTTTTATTTATTCAAAACGCAGTACCAGAAAATGTTTGAAATTATTGCTACATTAATATACAACATTTTGAATAGTTTATTAGATTAGTTGAATATTAAAGAAACCAAAATGGAACAGCAAGAAAATAACCCACATTAGTGTTCTCATATTAAGTGAATAATCAAAAAAAGAACAATATACATAAAGAGTTAATATACATATTTATAAAATCAAAAACCTAAACATTTAATTACTAATTAAAGAATTCTAYTCGGATTAATCAATGTTTAAGTAATATATTTACTATTATCTAATTGAGAACAATATTTATGTAAAACACATAACATAAATTAAGCGATAGATCAGAATTGATATTT